TCACACTAGCCTTCACCTGTGGTCAGTACAGACGTGTGTGTGACCTGCTCTGTGTTCACACTAGCCTTCACCTGTGGTCAGTCCAGACGTGTGTGTGTGTGTGACCTGCTCTGTGTTCACACTAGCCTTCACCTGTGGTCAGTCCAGACGTGTGTGTGTGTGTGACCTGCTCTGTGTTCACACTAGGGGTGTGCGATATATATCGTCTGCGATAATATCGTAATTGTTGTTTTAACGATGTGCGATTTGACATTATCGAGTATTTTGCAAAAACCATTCAAAACATCCCTACAGAGCGCACGCATACATTACGTGAAGTCTAGACTAGTGCGTGTGCGCATTTAGTGTGTTTTCTTTCACTGCATGATTCAGTCTATTAAAATGCATTTAGAATTATCACAAATTCAAGACATGATGGCAGAAAATTTATATATTTATACCACTTCATATAGTTATTCAATTTCACACGAAGAGTGCCGTTTTTCTCCAAAAATTACCATGATTACAAATGTGACATTGAATTCAATAAACAATAAGTTAATTAAGAGACTTACGTTTTAGACACCATATTGCTTGTTTTTGCTCTATTTCGCCAACAAAAATCATTCCGAATACAGCCACAGTGCTGTTTTGTGTCTCTGAGCAACATGACGGTGTTTCTTTCTTGAATGAATCAACCGTTTAAATGATTCGGTTCAATCGCAATGACTCACTTATTAACAGTGATTTGCTGCCACCTGCTGGCGGTTTTAATTTCAAATTTCGGCTTTTTCTTTTTTTCTTTTTTTCATGTTTTAAATCATTTCAAATATCAGTATTCAACGTTTTATGTTTAATATATCAAAACATTATTTATGCATTTGTAATTGCAGGTTAAATGCATTCATGTCTTGCATTAAACAAAATACATGTGTGTAAATACATCTAAATGCCACTTCAGATGCAGCTTCTGTGTTGATTTAATTTGCTTGGTAACAGCCCAAATGTCTTATTATTCTAATTCCCTTATTAAATGTAAGAATTTGACTCAAAAGATAATGGACACTTTTAGAAAAAATGGCTTTATAACGGTAAAAATGCCCCATAAAATGCAAAAATCAGTTTAAACTTATTGGATTTCAGTACTTATCAGTATGAACTGACCACCACACAGAATATGAAGAATATTAAAAACATTAGGAGTCAGCTGTCTTCGGCAGTCCTTAAGATACCAGCACAATAACACACTCAGCAAAATATCGTCTAATTATCGTTATCGATAAAATCCCAGAAAATATCGAGATATAATTTTTTGTCAATATCGCACACCCCTACTCACACGGATTAATTGTTTACCTTAACACTAACAATGTGCACTAACAAAATAAATATTGTAAATTTAGATTTTATGTGGACTTTAAGAATATCTTGTCATGTGTGATGCATCACCGATTTTCAAATCTTGTACTGTGTGCATGTTTAAGATTTGAAGGAAGAAAATCTGTGAAATTTCTCCTTATGCGTGTGCTGTAACCGGATTTCATAATTGGTTAGGATTTTAAAACTCCTGTAGTCTGAGCCCAGCTTAAATGAACAGTCCAAATCCATAAAAAGTTTTCTGTTTTTAGTTTAAAACGGTGTTGTGTAAAACCCCTTAAAAGTCCTGTGGTGCAAAGTACATTTACCTGAACTTCACATATGGGTTTCAAAGTAGATTATTAAAATATCTTTCTTAAATGTCATTGACACAGCTCCTTGTTATTTAAGTTTGACAGTTTTAGAGTTACATTGCAATCCTTGCTTCATCACATAATAAACATGCTCACACATCAAAGCTTGTAATTTGTATTTCAGCTTGCAGCTTTTGACTCTGACTCTTTTTATTCTTCCTTTTCACTGTTTTAACGTCACTGCATCAAAAAAAGATACAACAATCAACTATCTTTTAATAGAAGTCATTCAGCTAGAGTGTAAATATCCCACAGCAATGAATGCCACAGATATTTTGGGAGAAAACCCAATAAGCGAAGGCCACTTAGTTATTAAAGACGAGATGGAGAAAAAAAAACTGTTTTCTTCCACTGTCATTTCTTGCCCTCCCTCAGAGAATTTGAACGTCTATCTTCTTTAGTGACTATTTTTTCTGTTTGTTTTATAGTTGTTTTGAATGCATCTTGCTTCAACTTAATATTCTAAATTTCCCAGAAGACACCAGCAATCAAATGCAAATTAATGGCAATTTAATATCCCCTGTCCTCTCTGAGACACATTATAATTCTGTTTCCCTCATGTGCAGAAAGTAAACAACAACAGAGTCACTTCAGGCAAAGGAAGTGGTGCATGCTGTTCGTTTGATGAATCTGCATTCCTAACACATTTCGTTTGTATAACATAGTAAACTATAGTAAACTCTCTTTCCATGTCACAAATGGGTAAAGCTTATTCAAGCGGTCCTCTGTGTGCAACATGGACCTTATCTGAATGAAAAAAAAACTGGTGCAAAGGGGGAGTACAGAGCCAGTGGGTTGAGTGAAAGAAGATAAATAAGGAAAAGTTTCTGCAAACAGACAAAGTGCAGTGACCCCGTTGACAGGTTAGTCAGTGCTTCTTTCGGAAACACTTGGTTGGAGTGGCTCAGGGTGAGGCAGCTCAGCAGGTGGCGCAATATTTACCGATCAAATGCAATGAAAGTCCCGCTCTGACGGGACTGTTCAACATCACTCAGCAAACCACTTATACCATGTAATTATTTATGACTTCAAATAAGCACAACTTGCCGAACAAAGCTAAGATATTGAGAAAAACAAGCTTTTATGGATCCCTATGGATAACAGTACAGTGTGTGTAAAAAATAATGATTGCCAGGACTGTCACATTAAATAAAAAAGAACATCAATCTTCATAACATGTACCATGTGGGTCAATGACATGATACTCTTTCATTTGTCTGGATCTATTCATTTATAATAACAATAAATAGCTATGTACAATGGTTGAATACACTTCGTCTATGATAAGCATGTTTTCATTTCTGTATTGATTTTTTTTTTTGAATATTTTCTGAGAGGGCATTAAGTTAAAAATATCAAGGTGATACAATTGTGCTGATAACAATTACACTTATTAAAAATGAAATAATACTACTAATAAAAAATGTTTTATTATTCCTTAAAAATGTTAACAAAACTGCTTTACTAAATAATATACTTTTTAAAATTTTGCTCACAAAATTAAAGTCATGTGGTGTGATCAACATTCAGAACCATAAAAAATATAAAACAGGAAATTATATCATAGAGAAATTTATATATATATATATAGTTTTTAGGTGTCTGAACCGTGGTCCTTGGTGATTCATATAACGCAAGTCAGCGGCTACACATTTTTAAGACCTCAGTATGTCTTCAGGGTATTCATTTTGCGTTCCTTGATACGCTTTTATTCTCAAACACGTGCAGCTGACTTGCAATATATGAATCACCAAGGACCACAGTTTCAGATAAAGATCTTCTTTACTATTCTGCTGAAGAAAAAAAGTCATCTATATCTTGCATGGTCTGCAGGTGAGTAAATTTTTGGGTGAAATATCCCTTTGAGGAAAATGTTTTTAAATATGTGGACACTTCTACAAGTTTTATAAAATATGTAGAAAAAAATGTCTATGAAGCTGAAAAAAGAAAGGGGTGGGTACGGTTTTGAGTTTGCTAGGAGATGAGAAAAATAGAAGAAGAAGAAGAAGAAAATGCCTCCCTTGAAAGCTTAGGACGTTCATGCTGGAGTTGGCCTGTTGGGATAGCGGACAGGTTTGAGGACAGGCTCTGATACGAGTCTCATTCATTGAGGGCCAGTGTTGTCCTCGTGTTATTCTAGGCATAAGGAAGTGACGTGGATGAAATAGGCAGCCATTGTCTTCCGATGCGTTGACCTCATACTCCCTTTGGGACTGTCTAAATATTATTTCTTGCAAAAATGTTGAGCGCTGTTGATAGGCCCTTTTTCACACAGCCTCCTCTCTACCCTGCAGTATGACAGCTTTGTGTGTTGTCAGTGTTCATTTTGGTGTATAATAAGGTTCTCCAGGGTAGCCTAAGTCGGATTTGAATTTTGGAGTGTTTATGAACTGTTGCTTGAATTGTGCTGAATGTCATCAATGGATTGCAACAAATTTAATTACAGCAAAAGAGCATCATAGCCTATTCATCAGCAGTACTGACCCACGGCTAATACACAAACAGTGTTTATCACATGAATTGTAGCCTTACAATTTGTTTCTCAATTGCGGAGACTACTACAGCTATGGCGGGAATTTGCGCTTTGTAACTTCTTGTCCTCATTAATTTTATAGCCCATGACTTTGGTAAGTAGGCTACAGTTGTTTCAAGTAAGCTTTTGTTTTCACTGTCTTGTGAACTTTGGTAGTGTATGATAATTAAGACAAAGACCGTTGTTGTGAATATCAGCAGGACTGGCACGAGGCCGCTGATATTCAGAACAACAGCATAGGCCTATGCTTTCTCATGATATTTCTTTAAAAAAAAATGACATGACAACTAGTTATCAAAACGTGATACTGAATAACATACATTTTAGACACAATACTGATAGTTACTTACTATTTTTGCTCCGCCAGTTCCACACGAAACAACTGTCATTGCATCTCTGAGCTACACATTGTAGCGGTGAATGATTCATTGTTTTGAACAAATCAGTTAAGTGAATGATTAAGTGAATCACTCATGTCAGTCACTTGTTTCTTTACTGAATCAGCGCGTTGTCCGTTCCAACGAATCGGTTCAATGACTCATTCATAAAGACGATCCCCTGTCGCCTCCTACTGGCGTAACGATGAATTCCAATATCTTGTAATATCTTTTAAATATAATTTTAATTCCTGAAAGGAATTCAATTTGCATTTAGATAACAAATGATAATGGGATATGGATAATTAAATGTGTAGGCCTACATACATAGTTTACTGTTTATTTTGTCTTGTGTATTTTATAAAAAATAATATATAGGGATGCTCAATATTATTGAGCTTGGAAAAGGTTTTTTATAAATAGGCCTACGTTAATAAATTAAAAAACTTAATTTGTTATTATTATTATTAGTAGTAGTAGTAATAGTGAGTAGCAGTCATAATAATAATAATAGTTTTATTTATTTATTTATTTGTTTTAATGATGTTGTATTAACCATAGATATAGGCATATATACAGTATACATAGATGCCTCATTAGTGACTGTTTCTATGGGCCGCGATACGTAAGCCATCCGCCATTTTTGGAACAGTCTGCGAACCTTTGAGTGCATTGACTGTGTGCGTCTACAACAGCAAGTTATATGCTTGTATATCTTTGAATATTCATTGATTATTATGGTGAATGACGTCAAGTTGACCGTTCCAAGATGGCGGACGCCTCAACGTATCTGGAGCGGTCGAATCGGGTCGAATGCATAGCTTTCAGTCACGTGACCGGCTCGAAGCCCTGGAGGGCAAAACATCCATAGAACTGCAGGACAAGCCTGACAATTTTCCATCTGTTTCACAGCCGCAAATATTTAGATCACCTCTCAGAAGAATAAAACAAAGGTATGTGAACAAAATGCAAGTTTTGGCCATTTGCAATCCATATTAAGCACCCGCGGCAATATTTAAATCATTAAACAGTGCGACAAAACGTTGTAAAAACACCTAAAGTGCCTTAATATATTTAAAACAGTAATATTCTCTATATTAATGATGCATAGTTTACATAGGCAAGCATATGAGGCCGGAATATGAACGCAATCCGCTTAATGGTTCAGTGTTTTCCTTCTAATAGTTTTCTATGGGAAACCATTTAAGGTGAAACTTTGCTCATTGAGTTTATTCTAGCTTCATCTGCTTGCCTGTACAAAATATACATAATCAATAAGGTGTTTCTGAATTTCGCCTTTTAATATCTGCGTTTTACTACATTACTACAACCCCTTAACTGTCACCCCCCATTTTTTAAAATAGGCATGAAAGTGCACTATCCAAACTTAAATTGTTGTAATTTATGAACACTTTGGAATACAGACTTAAGGTTGGTCTCTTTTTAAAGAAGAAATTAGCAGATTATTGCAAAAATTGAATTTTTTCAAACAATTAAAGTATCAAAAAGTTATAGAAGTTTAGATTTACTGTAAAGAAAATGCAATATACTAATTTTATTTTATATATAATAAATATTTTACATAACAGGTTTTACTCTAAAATTGGTATAAAATTAAATCCTTATGTTTAAATAAGTTATGTTCCAAATTTGAAGTTGATATGAAAAAAATTGAGATTCCTGTGAGATTTTATTTAGGGCGTTATACCACAATCAGCCACCGGGTGTCATCCAAACTCCATTGAATTTTTAATGCATTTTTCTGTCACAAATGTCTAGATTTCTCTGTCAATATTACTTCTATTGTAAATAGGAAGAATCGCTGACAACTCTGTCTGGTCCGCAAACTATGTTTCATATAACTCCTCCCCAAACTTCCCACTGCCCTGTATCTTGCTCTTTCATTGGCTGTAGGTCAATACCGATGTATTTACAGTCAGAACTCATTTCACACAGCAGAGTTCTGAATTGCCGACAGGTCCAGATATTTAGCATGCCAAATATTTCATGGGATTCTCTTAGATCGCATCTTTGATAATTCACACTGCGTGATTGTCACTCGCGTGAACGAGCACCGATTTGCCTTGATTTTTGGTATTTGTTGGCGATTTCGCAAAACCTGTCGGCGAGTGAAAATCGAGGCTAAAATCATGCAGTGTGAACTCGGCATGAATTGACTATGGTGGAAGTAAGCCCCCCAGAGGGCTCTAATTTACTTATACTAATTTATTATATAGATTCCAGTTCTGAGGTCAATATTTACTATTTCTATGTATTTGTCTGAAAAAAATGTGGTGGACATGTTGTGGTATTTTATGGCATAATTCAAAGATGTTTAGGCTGGTCATTTACTGAACTTTAGAACAATATGTAGAATCTGTTTAGAAAATATATAGCCTATTTAATGAAAAAATTGGAACAATTAGTCATAATTTTTTGTGTTTTGTGCTAAAATTTCTGTTGGACTAGTGCTAGCTGTGTGACTGTGTTTAATTTCTTTGAATTGCAGGTCAGTAAATTCCTCTTTCTGCTATTCCAACTCATGGGCCGTGGCCAATTCAATTCAAATTCCCAGCCCTGGCGCTCAGGGATTTGTGTCCTGAGCATCAGCACAGCCTGTACCGAGTAGCAGGGAGAAACAGCGAGTCGGTTATGGAGTTGTGTATGGTGGAGTTTCAGCTGGGCTCAGGATGCATCCTTCCTCTGATTAGACTGGAGATGCTGACTCACTCCTACAGCTATAGTGGGTGATTAAAGTGTAATGCCATGTGCGCCACCTCCACATACTGCACATGCACACACACACACACAGCCTGACTGGTCATGCAAAAGAAACAAATCTCATACTCACAACTGCACATGTACAAACCAAAGTAGTCATGCTGGTTTGTCAGCGTTTGTCAGCATTTGTGCAACGTAAGATCAAACCGCAGCTGTAACTTTCCTGAAGGCCACATTTCTCTTCACGGTGAGTAACGCACATCGGTTAAGGACATGGCACACACTGTGTGGGGGCTTGTGAAGGATGTAGGCTGTTGGAAGAGGGACTAAGAGGGGGAGGCTTATACGGATATTACCGCTTATACGTCTTCAGTCAGGCTTTTCACTCTTAAGAACACGTCGTGCAGTTATTGAAAAAATGCGTGCGGTGGGTGGTCCTGACCTCGCTAATTACCACAGATTGCACACACACAGTACCGACATATTTGCTAAAATGTCAGACGGGCCAAACGTAGAGTCTCTCACATATCACGAGCTTTGTAACGACGCCGTACTGTGGGAGAGGCTGTAATTAAAAAGCCAAATATGTTGTGTTGAACTTCACACGTGAAT